TGTGTCTTCGGAAGTCGTCTTCGGGGGGGAATTCGTCTTCGGACAATATGTCTTTGGAATTCGTCTTTGGAATTCGTCTTCGGAATTCGTCTTCGTCTGCGGGTCAAAATTGCATACCCGCAGAGCGGCTACAATGTATACATATATATATATGATTATATATAGTACCTCCCGCACATCTGGCACCCATGTCTTAAACACACATGAAAAGATCTTTGGGGGGGTACCATTTTTTTAGCCCTTTTTTGGCATCCTCACGGTTTCAGTCAAGCTGCTGACCGCATTCAAAGCTGCGTCGCCTGGAACACCCCAGATTGAATCAATCAGCTCTGGAGAGTTCTGAGCGGCAAGGCTTTGAAGGCTTGTTCCTGTGAGCACTGAGAACTAAAACATTCCTAGGTAGCTACTAGTAGCGTCCTTGTTCCTAGTAGCGATGCCAGGAGCCCCTAGTAGCTTCTTGTTCCTAGCAGTAAGGCCAGGAGCCCCTAGTAGCGTCCCTGCTCCTGGTGATTCCACCGGTTTCCGATCAAAGCTACGACACCGAGATTTGGGGGCCTGCAAGCTGGGACTGCCGGGGCCGCCGTGCGTTCCGCGCTGGACTTTCGCTCAGTGCTGCCTTTCGGTGTACAGAGTCGGCAACCACTGGGTCTGTCTAAGTGACTTGCTATCTGACTTGCTGTCTTCTGGTCAACGGTTGACATGATGTGGCGAGAAACGCGATCAAGGCCCCAATAGAGCCAACTAGGCTGCAATGATTCGACGCATCAACAAACTGCAACTACTACTAGTAAGGCACTTGTTACTAGTAGCGATGCACTTGTTTCTAATAGCTTCTTGTTACTACTAGTAAGGCACTTGTTACTAGTAGCAAACAGCTCGACCGGAGCCCCTCCGTTTTGTTGATGCCTCCGCGGTGATCCCACGGCCAGTCGTGCTCATGCCTGCCGCAGCACACTCCGTATTCTCTTTAACCATCTTTAAACCATACTGATCCCTGTTGTCAATGTGTCAGGCTACCTCGACTAATCTGAAGGTCAGTCCTCTTTTCCTTCCTAAATCCACACTTTCTTCTGCCCTGTGTCAAAGGATGTGAAACCCCAAACAGAATGAACCTGCGACTTGCTGATGAACCGTCCAAACCATAATGTGTGTAAAAAAAATATAGATACAGTACACATATACATATTATAGGTGCATCATTGTATATCGTTGTATCATAATGAATCCTTGTATGATCTGATAATGGCTGGTGCGTTTGCCACACTACCGCGCACTCTTGCCTAAACGCGAAGCATCACTTCCTGCAGAAACGATTATGTCTAAAGCCTTGCATGCTCAAAGTAATGTGGACGGACAAATGACTTGAGAGAGGAGGGGGTGAACGAAAGGTAGCAGGCAATCACAAGTAACCCTGGTAGAAGTCCATGACGGCGTGAACCGGCGCAGGGGGGATTTGATCCAGGGAGGGGGGGAGGGCCCGTGGTGGGGAACTTTTAGACCAATGTGCCGCCAGGGCTCCTTAGCATACTTTTCATGCAAAACCATAAGACTCCCACAAACGACCAGCAAAGCAAATCGACCTAACAAAAAAGTAATTTGCACGAAACCATGACACACACAAAGCAAAACAATGCTTCATATTTTTTTTTAACCATGCATCATCAAAAAGTACATACAGACGCAAACTTGTGATTTTTTACCTTGAAATGTTAAAGTAAAAAACCACAAGTTTTGTAAAAGAACCTCGATAAAAAGGACAACATAGAACCAGACTCATCCTTACCAGAGCTCTCCCTGAAGGAAAAGAACATAGAAATCCTTTCTGCTAAATGGATACCGCTTCGTTTGATGTCTGTTTTTAAGCTGGTGACCTGGATTACCTGAACTTTGGATTACCTGAAAGCTCACAATATGTTACAAACAGGCGATTTGTAAACTATCTTAGTAGCACCACAAACGTATTTAATGCGAATGAGGGGGCGGAAAACATTAGGTTTTGCATTTCAGGAGAGGATAATACCTATTTGGATTTGAGTTCAGTAAGGTTGTTTGCAACTTTACAAAATAACGATCGAACAAGACACCATTTCTTACGTCCATTAGGAGGCTTACATGCCTTTATTCAACGATACAGAGCAATAGTAGGAGGTCAAATGGACCGAAATATTGTTGAATACAATAGACACTGTGAGTTGTATGTTAGAGACATGGATGACATAGAGATGTCAGCTAACCCAAGATGGGACGCTGACTTTCATGACTATGCTACAGTAATGGTTTGGATGTATTATTGCAGGCTACTACTGCTGGTGTTACTCCAACCCCCGGTGTAGTAACTGTATCCCCTGACGGTGATAAAAATGAATGGGGTAGAATAGATAAAAGATACAGTATACAAGACACTCATTGACAGGAATTCCCGGCGCTAATGGTAAAGCCCGATTCAGCCATAAGCCTGTTTGTGGGTTGATGCAATCAAACTATTATTTACCTTTGAGGTATGCGCCTTTGGAATTAGAATTCACAATTGTTAATGATGAATTGGTACCTATTGTAGAACCACAAGGAGGCGCAGTAGGAAACCCGAACACTCAAACTGACAAACAGGGATATTACTTTCAAGCAGCTAACACTTCTACACAGTGGGAATTAAACAATGTTATTATCAGAGCTGAAGTAATGACTTTAGACAACACTGTTAATAACAACATAGTAAAACATTTGTTGGATGGTCAGTCACTAAAACTGGTCTTTCCTATGTATCACACACTGACACAAACCTTCAACACAGGAGGCGGTGAATTGGATATGAACATTGTTAAGTCATCATTCAAACTCACAGGAGCATTCATTACTTTATACAGAACACCAGGAAATGGAACTATCAATGCTAACTATTTGCCAGACAACTATGTTCATAAGCGATGGGACAATGGAGCAGTAGCAAATCCTCAAGACCAAGGCAAAGGTTTCCAAGACTATGGTAGAAACTTATAATGGCAAATCCAGTTAGGCAACAAAAAGTATCCAGAGTTTGAGGCACAATCATTATCATGCAGAAAACTTCTACTATTTGCGAGGAGCCATACATTACATGAACCCGGACCAAGATGCATTGATTTTCAGTTACAGGCAATACAGAGAAAACACATTTATTATTGGTATGTCATTTGAAAAGATGGCTGACGTCAACTTTACTGGAGTTAACACAAAAATGGGTAGTTTAATGACTATGAAAATCCGCCCTACTGAAGGAACTCTAAACACTACACCCGGTGATAGCACTAACGCAATTTATGCTGAAGACATTCAAGAGGTTTTTACCCACCTTATTAGTGCAAGCGTGTTAGAAATTTGCGAACGCGGGTCTGTGGTATACGATTAAAATAATAAGTCTAAATTATTAATATATTTGTCTAAAACAAAATATATTAATAATGTTTAAGTATCATAAACACAACAACAAAACAGGCACTAAAGCACATCTTCACAAATCATTAATAAATTTTAGTCCATTTGATATGAGAGATACAAGTTATCTGGAGCATTTACGCAAGGAACTTAAGTTAAGAAATGCAAGAGAGGGCATGGTAGCATTAAGAAAGGACATGATACAAGCAAATGCTAGGTCAAACTATCAAAATGAACTGGACAGGTTGAGAGGTGAAGTCCAAAGAGACAACCTACCGCACAACACAAAAGAACACAGCATTAAGCAACCTAAAGGCCTATTTTTTGCATAAATATATTAACATGTTTACCTCACATATTAATATATGGCAAGTATGGCATTGGAAATGATAAACCCTTATTCAAAATATGAATTGAAGAGGCGACCAACATATGATGAAATAGCAGGGTTGATAGGAGAAAATGAAACATTAACTGGAAGCCTTCCAGACAGAAGGGCTACATTTTTTAAAGCAAGTCCTGAAGGTAGCTTCTTTGATGGCATTTGAAGTATTGAAGGAACAAAAAAACAGAATACAAGGACAAAAGAGACAGATGAGAGAACTATTATTGAGACACAATTTAGGAGGTGGAACAGTTCATGTTGAAAGGATGAGGCAACAGAGTAGAGACACAACCCCAATAGAAGCAGAGACGCCAAGAGATGACAACGTTAATAATGCATCCATTCAAGCACAACTACAAGAAAGAGCCAGAATGGCACAGGAGAGAAAACAACAAGGACAAGCACACCAAAGTTTATTAAGTAGGAGCGCCACACCTGTTATTGATATGATATTTGGTGGATTGAGTAGAACAAGTAGCAGAGTAGGAACGCCAATGGCTCAACCGGTGCCACAATTAGCAATTGATTTAACACAAGACAACCCACAAGCAGAAGATGAAGTAGAAATGATGACAGCAAGAGAAGAACGCGAAGCCCCTGAACCCAAACAAGCAGTATTAAGAACCATTAGCTATAGATTAAATGTAGGAACTATGAGCGCAGAAGCATTGAAATTTCAATTGTTTTTGCGAGGCTTTGATGTAGATGACCCAAAGAATGAACTACCAACAAGAGCAAAAGGCAAAGGAGGAGGCAAAACAACAAAGCAATATTATGTAGATGTTGATATGATACAAACCGGTGTATGGCAAAGAAGAATTGAATCAGAACTATTGAAAGGCAACATTAAAGAATACAGAAACAAACACGGCGCAAGGGGAAGTGAAATGGCATAGTTAAGAATAGAATCTAATTATTATTAATCATGATTTTAGTACACAATAGACTGAAGAAACACATATAATAGATGATGATGAATACTTACATTATTTCTAAATAAGCCAACAGAAAGAAGAGAACGAAGTAATGAGATAGAATCTGAAGATGAGGCAACACAATTCCCAGAGATAGAGAACAAACAAACGCAAACCGATAAGAAAATTACGTTTGACAAAGAGACTGAAACAGGAGATGAATTAAACCGGATAATAGGAAACTATATTGTGAAGATGAGTTCAAAGAACTTCAAAAGTTTAGAGCCATCAAGAAGTGATTTTGAGCCATCAAGAAGTGATAAGATGGTAGAAGCTTTTACACAAATGATTGAACACCCTAGCAGTAGTAGCAGTGACAGTGAAGGCAATAGGTGATGTTTCAAAAGACATAGAGGGACATTAAAGATGGGTTTTAGATTGGCAGAAGTAGCAGGAAATACAGCTATGATGGGTGGCAGTGCTTTATTGTCAGCGATTGATTATTTGACACAAGCAGGGGAAAATGACAATGATAATGAAGAGGAAGTTATAAGCGTGCATTCTTCACCTGCAGTGAGTGTCCATAGTTCTCCACCACATTCAGTAGTAAATGTTTCATCAAGCAGTTCATCACACAATCCACCCATGGTAGCACATCCAACAGATTTACCAATACCTACATCATCAAGCTCATCAAGTAGAAGAAGTAGTAGCGCTTCTGCTTCTGGTTCAGCATATCCAACAAATAAAAATAACAAATAAGTTAATATGTTTTAATAGTAAAATCATTTTGGAACCACCATCAGTATTTGCCTCGTTTCATTGTTGGTGACAGGTATCCTTTTTGGAACACCCCGTTCTTCTCTCTTCTTTTGTTGTCTGAGGCGGTCTCTGTCCCTCAACTTTTGTGCATATTCAGGGTCTTCTCTTCTCCTTTTCTTTTCGTAAAGCGCCTGAAAGATTGACATCTGCACTTTAATTTCATCCAGTGTTAGGTCCGGTCTTCAATGTTTAATTGAGTAGTCATTATATCTTAATGTATATAGTTAATATGTCTTTATATATATTACATTTTAACGATACTAAATAATAAATAGTTTATAACATTAAATGGTTTTTGTTTTAAAGCTTTAAGCTTATTATATATCAATATAAAGTATTATATGACAAAAAATATCTATAGAAAAAAACATATTACCAGTTTAAGGAACATAGGAGACAGGAAAAGAGGCAGGGTTGACACTGCTACACTTCAAAAAATCAATACTGTTATTGACCTTTATGAGGACAGGGAAAAATTGATAAAGGTGTCACTGCAACCAATGACAAGAACCTAAAGAAGGGAGTGAAAGCCTTTGACAAAGCAAGAAAAAATATCAAGATGCGGTACCAATAGGTGAAAGAGAGAAAGTAAAAAAGGCAACAGAACAGGCGGTAGTAGGAAGAACGAGGGCAGTAGTAAACAGGAGAATTAGACAAACAATTAGCCCAGAGGCACTCAAAAAGTTCTCAGACACGCTCACCAAAACCTTCAGAGAAAAAGTGTTAGCCAACAGAAAGCTGTATGTTGTCAAATACATGCTTTTTTCAA